CTGCACAGAATACAACATCCAAATTTTGAGGAACTTCTCAAAGAACTTTGTATTGTTCTCTTGGGAACAAAGATATACCTGTCGCTCGCCCCTAATCTGCACTGCTATTGGAGTGAAAGATTTGGGAGGTAGTGTGGAATGTACCCAGTGAACAGCAAGAAGGCCATGGGTACAATTAGAGAACATTGTTCAAGCATCCTTGGTGAGCTTCAACATATCACCGGAACGAAGATGGTGGTTGTCAAGAAGCTGGACAGCTACCTACAACAAGTGCCAGGTTTGCTGAGTTGGGATAGCTATGCGAGCCTACGGACTGCTAACACAAACAGCCTGGTTGACCAAGGGCGGGCTGCAAGGGTAGAAGAGCCTTGAAATTAGTCACAGGTACACAGTCGACACACGCCTTGTCTCTCACCGAAATACAGTTTTGTTGTGGGAAACAGAGGCCATAATACCCGAAAAAAAACCTCGGTGACTCCATCCTCATCCCCTACCAAGTCTGTATCGAGCAGCTGTAACAGGTCATGCAGGTCAGGGGGCATAACCCCCTTAGTTGATCCCACACCTCACGTTATAATGGCCCTTGTAATGTTTACACACATTTTATTAAATTCTTGAGATTTATAGACAAACTTAATTTTTAATTAACTTTAAGATTGGGTACTAGAGGCATAGATAAGGACGAAAGGTCAAGCAGTAGATTACTAAGCTGTAAACGTAGCCATTAACGCGGTTGAGATTATCCCAGGATGATAGAGACAGATATGAAGGCCACACCCTGGCAAGCAAAATAAACATAGTGGGTATGTGAGCAAGTTCATCCTGAGTCCATACCACGTTAGGTGCACAGAGTTCATGTAAGAGGTCACGGAGAACGACCGAGCCAGGAACTGAGGATACACCTAGGAACAGGAGAGGGCGAGGAGCACAGAGGTTAGAAACTACAGAGAGTGGAGAATACAGAGAATAAAACCTGTAATCCAGTTAAAGTCCAATGTTTGTAATAGTAAGGAAAAGATCTTTGAAGTTTTGAGCTTTTATCCACCTAATTTACTGGTATATTGTTATTTATGAGACTCTAATATAATGACTGTAATATAATAATGACTAATACGGGACTGACAAACACCATGTGACACTATTTTTCTCTACTTTTGTTTTTACGCTTCAGTTCACTAAATGAGCTATGAGTTCACAATAAACTATCGCCATTTCACGGGTTCAAACCCTGGCATATCATGTTTGTTGTGTGTGTGTGTGTGTGTGTGTGTGTGTGTGTGTGTGTGTGTGTGTGTGTATGTGTGTGTGTGTGTGTGTGTGTGTGTGTGTGTGTGTGTGTGTATGTGTGTGTGTGTGTGTGTGTGTGTGTGTGTGTGTGTGTGTGTGTGTATGGTGTGTGTGTGTGTATGTATGTATGTAATGTATGTAGTGACGAATAGGTAAAACTGGTCAATTAGCAAGAAGTCATTTAAATTTAAGTCCTTTCTAAAATTTTGTCTTAGACGTTTAAAGATATTTTTTTTATTCATGTTAATGTAAAACTTACCTAACCTTATTATAACAAGTGTAATTTAATTTAGCCTAATCCAACTAAATATATTTTATATAAGTTTACAATAATTTAATATTAAACAAGCACAATGAAATTTTTTTCGTTAGGTTCAGAATAATTCAAAAATCAATCTGAATCTAACGAAAAAAAAAAATATTTTGTTGTGTTTGTTTATTGTTAAATTATTGTAAACTTATCTAAAATATATTTAGTTGGATTAGGACAAATTAAATTGCGCTTGTTATAAGGTTAGGTAAATTTTCTAAGGTTCTTTTGGTACAAAATAAATGAAAAAAAAAAAATTTCTTTAAACGTCTAAGATAAAATTTTAGGAAGGACTTAATTTTAAATGAGTTCTTGCTAATTGACCAGTTTTACCTATTCGGCACGACGTATATATTCGGCACGACATATATTTAATGTCAAATTTCCAAAGAAGTAAAAGAATGAGCGGGGTTGAGGTGGTGCTGCTGCAGGACAGAGTTTGGGTGGCGGAGCTTAATTCGATTTAAGTCCTGATTCCTGCCGCAGGCTTAAGTTGGGGAGTGAGGGGGATCCTGTAAGTGGGAAAAGAAGACGAGGAGGGAGGAAAGAGGTGGTGGTGATGAGAATGACGGAAGATGAAGAGATATAACATGGTCCTAAAGATGATTCAGGAGTACTCAACGGGTACTCTGTTTGCGGGGGTCGAAACACTGCGCATGACCTTGTCTCGTGCGCTGGCTTCATCGACATGTAAAAGACTCGACCCTCCCGGACTCTGTCATACTTGACCTTGAAACTGTGAGTAGAGGGACTCCCATCTCCTCTTCTAACTTAATCCACTGTTCACACATACTGACCTGTACACGTGTGTGTTGTTTTCATCTTCACCTAGTACCTGAGCCTCTCTTATGGAACAACCTGCCTCTGCCTCGTCGATGCCTCGCAGGATTTTACAAAGCTCTCTGCAGGCTTCCAGGGTCGCCAGATTAGGTTTTGAGTCTCTGGATATTACATTTCTCGTAGCTCCAGAACAAACCTTGTTGTGTGTTTACGACTTCTTCAGCGTCTGCGCCTGCCTCTCAAGTTGGGCCTTTCTTCTCCACTTATCATTGCCTTATATTTTTCCGGTTAAATTCCAAAAACTGTTTGTTTTTTAACCAAATCTGGGAGAGAGAGAGAGAGAAGGGGGTAGAGAGAGGTAAAGAGAGGTAGAGAGAGAGAGAGAGTGTTAGGGGCATGAAGTGCCCCTGAAGACGGGCACACTGTGTGTGTGTGTGTGTGTGTGTGTGCGTGTGTGTGTTTTAGGGTCATCAAGTGGCCCTGAAGATGGGCACATAGTGTGTGTGTTAGGGGCATCAAGTGGTCCTGAAGATGGGCACACACTGTGTGTGTGTTAGGGGCATCAAGTGGCCCTGAAGACGGGCACACAGGGTGTGTATTAGGGGCATCAAGTGGCCCTGAAGACGGGCACACAGAGTGAAGTCGAGTGAAAACTCGCCGACACAATTGGAAAATTTGCTGGTAATTGAAGTGCAACATTGTTATTGTAGCGAGATGAAAGACAGCACCAGGACCCTCTGATCAAAGGTGCTCTCCCGGCCCCACCTCGCCCCCACCCCACTCCTCCTCGGCGCCGCCTCTCCCCTCCTTGGGCCCACCTTGTCCTTCCTCAGCCCCTCTTCGAACCTCCTTTGCCCCACCCCACCCCGCCTCGATTTCGCCCCACTCCACCTTTGACAGGTCTCGAGAGTTTTCCTACTCCCGCAGCTCGGTCATGGGCCAGGCTTGCCGCGTGATTGCCTGCTAAACCAGGCTGTTGCTCCTGGCGACCCGCTAGTTCTTATATCCATCACAATCTGGTTGATCGGTACTTTGGTGGAAGTATTTGTCTAATTGTCTCATGACGTCTTCACTTTTCTCAGCAGTGTTTCTGATATCTTCTGGTAAGATGTGGAATAGTCTGGGGCCACGGATGTTGATAGTGTTTTGTTACTGCGCCCACAGCGCTTCTGCTTTCCACTAGGTTTATTTTGCACTTTCTCTCGTATCTTTTTTTTTATCTTTCTCTCCTCAGCTCCAACGAATACATATTTAGGACTTGGAAGCGTTCCAAATAATTGATCTCTGTATCTGGTCTGTGTGTGATATCTCGTGCACTGAACGGAGCTGTCTACACTGAACTATACTCTTGAAATTGGCACCGTTTCCTTTGTTTTGGAAGTCAATATTATCCAATTTGTTATTTTCCTGACTTTCGTGATAGTTACTCATTTTACATAATTTTCTTGAGCATTAACGAGTGTCAGTATTTTAGCATTTCCTGCGTATACTGCAGTGTATTTTAGTGTAGGTGGATAGTGAATGGTAGAGAGTCAGTTTCGTGATAACCGGACATAGGATCGAGCCTCAATTACTCCTTGTGCTTAATGACCCGTACGGATTTAGAGATTAACGTGGGTATATTTAAAAGTATGTGGTTTATGGTTGGGACATAAATGTATAAGAAGAGACATTTTCATGGAAGCAGGTAAAAAATAATAGATATGTCTGGCAGGGCAGTATCTGGGTGAACCCAGGCAACGTTAAAATTAAAAAAGTCAAGAAAAGATGGCGGGGGGGGGGGGGGGTGTCGTCATACCTGTCCCATTCTCTCCTATTCCCCCTCTGCCCATGTACCTTTTCGTATCCTCGCTCCATCCCCCTCACTGTTTAATCACCGCAGCACCCTAGACCCCCACCCACCCATCTTATCTACCTGACTACTAAACTAAACCCGCTTGTCGCCAGCTTTCCCAACGCCGTTGGATCCCAACCTTCTGGGCCCCCCCCCTCGCCCCCTTTCACCCTTTCTCTTCCCCTATTCATCTCCCCTTCCCCCTCCTCCCCCCACAATGATGAGATGAATCTACCTCTGTGTAATTGACTTTGAATTTGATTTCCTCCTCTGCGGGATCCTTGGTGGCTCTCACCCACTCCGGCGCCTCCATCACTGATGCCTCCAGGGAGGAGGGAGGGAGGGAGGGAGGGAAGGAGGGAGGCAGGGAGGGAGGCAGGGAGGGAGGGAGGAAGGGAGGGAGGGCAATGCCAGAGGGGGAATTGAATGAGGAAGGAAAAAAATACAGATGTAGGTAGAGACGGGGGAAAGAACAGTCACCTTTAAAAAATATGTCAATTGCATATTGAAAGTGTTGGTGACACTTGTAGAGGCGATAGTCAGTGACAGTGTTGGTGTAGCCATTGACTGTGTTGGTGTAGTCAGTGACAGTGTTAATGTGTCCATTGACTGTGTTGGTGTAGTCAGTGACAGTGTTAATGTGTCCATTGACTGTGTTGGTGTAGTCAGTGACAGTGTTAATGTGTCCATTGACTGTGTTGGTGTGGCCAGTGACGGTGTTGGTGTGTACAGTAGTAGACAGTAATATTATGAGTGAGGCTTAGCACACTAACTCTCTCCGTCCTTCAGTACTGCGTCTACAGGTAGTGGAAGTAAGGAACGTGGCTGCTGTCTCCTTCCCTTCCCCTGGAGAGAGATGGCTGACGGCTGCGCCCACCCACGCCTCCGATCCTGCCTCCACGCCTACCGGCAACCCCTCCAGCAGTACTGCAGGAGACATGGAGGCCACCTCCTTTGCTAACATGGACGGCCTCCAGGATATTGGCGGCGAAGCGTCCAAAGTGCCGCTAGACACCATCACACTGCCTCCCGAGGCTCTATTGGAGAACTCGGAGAACGGCCTGGTGAAGATGGTGTTCTTCAGCTACGACGGACTGCACCACCTACTGCAGCCCGACGGTCGATCCTACAGGATCAACGAAGCTAACTTCAAGGTAAGTCACACCTGCTCATTATCATCTAGTACATTATTTACTCTTCAATATATGAAAGGTGTGTGTGTGTGTGTATATATATATATATATATATATATATATATATATATATATAATATATATATATATATATATATATAATATATATATATATATATAATTTTTTTTTTCAACAAGTCGGCCGTCTCCCACCGAAGCAGGGTGGCCCAAAAAGAAAGAAAATCCCTAAAAAGAAAATACTTTCATCATTCAACACTTTCACCTCACTCACACATAATCACGTATAAAAATACACAATATATCCCTCCAAACTGCCAATATCCCAAACCCATCCGTTAGAGTGCAGGCATTGTACTTCCCATTTCCAGGACTCAAGTCCGATTATATAAAATAACCGGTTTCCCTGAATCCCTTCACTAAATATTACCCTGCTCACACTCCAACAGATCGTCAGGTCCCAAATACCATTCGTCTCCATTCACTCCTATCTAACACGCTCACGCGCTTGCTGGAAATCCAAAGCCCTCCCCCACAACACCTCCTTTACCCCTTCCCTCCAACCTTTTCGAGGACGACCCCTACCCCGCCTTCCTTCCCCTACAGATTTATACGCTATCCATGTCATTCTACTTTGATCCATTCTCTCTAAATGACCAGACCACCTCAACAAACCCTCTTCAGCCCTCTGACTAATACTTTTATTAACTCCACACCTTCTCCTAATTTTCACACTCCGAATTTTCTGTATAATATTTACACTACACATTGCCCTTAGACAGGACATCTCCACTGCCTCCAACCGCCTCCTCGCTGCAGCATTTACAACCCAAGCTTCACACCCATATAAGAGTGTTGGTACTACTATACTTTCATACATTCCCTTCTTTGCTTCCATAGATAACACTTTTTGCTTCCACATATACCTCAACGCAGCACTCGCCTTTTTTCTTTCATCAATTCTATGATTAACCTCATCCTTCATAGATCCATCCGCTGACACGTCAACTTCCAAATATCTGAAAACATTCACTTCTTCCATACTCCTCCTCCCCAATTTGATAACCAGTGTTTCTTTATCTAAATCATTTGATACTCTCATCACCTTACTCTTTTCTATGTTCACTTTCAACTTTCTACCTTTACACACACTCCCAAATTCGTCCACTAACCTTTGCCATTTTTCTTTAGAATCTCCAATAAGCACAGTATCATCAGCAAAAAGTAACTGTGTCACTTCCCATTTTGTATTTAATTCCCCATAATTTAATCCCACCCCTATCTCGAACACCCTAGCATTTACTTCTTTTACAACCCCATCTATAAATATATTAAACAACCATGGTGACATTACACATCCCTGTCTAAGACCTACTTTTACCGGGAAGTAGTCTCCCTCTCTTTTACACAGCCTAACTTGAGCCTCACTATCCTCATAAAAACTCTTTACAGCATTTAGTAACTTACCACCTATTCCATATACTTGCAACATGTCGTGCCGAATAGGTAAAATTGACCAATTAGCAAGAACGCTTATAAAATTAAGTCTTTTTTTAAATTTTTTTCTTATACGTTTAAAGATATATTTTTTCGGTTATGTTAATGTAAAAATTAATAATTTTGTACCAAAAGAACCTTAGAAAATTTGCCTAATCTTGTTATAACACGCGCAATTTAATTTAGCCTAATCCAACTATATATATTTTAGATAAGTTTAGAGTAATTTAATAATAAACAAACACAATGGAATATATTTTTTTTCGTTAGGTTCGAATGATTTTTGCTAAATTATTACATACACAAATTTTCGCTTACCTTATTCGGCAAGAAGAGCGTTGCTATTTATGCCATAATAGCAAGTTTTACCTATTCGGCACTACCTATATATGGGGTTGGTAGGAGAAGACTAGTGCTCACGTGGGTTCTAGGAATGGTCTCTAGACTCT